TTCAACCAGTTAACCTAGTTAACTTAGTTATTATACCCTATTTCAACAAGTTAACCTAGTTAACTTAGTTATTATCCCCTATTTCAACAAGTTAACCTAGTTAACTTAGTTACTATACCCTATTTCAACCAGTTAACCTAGTTAACTTAGTTATTATACCCTATTTCAACAAGTTAACCTAGTTAACTTAGTTATTATACCCTATTTCTACCAGTTAACCTAGTTAACTTAGTTATTATACCCTATTACAACCAGTTAACCTAGTTAACTTAGTTATTATACCCCATTTCAACCAGTTAACCTAGTTAACTTACTTATTATACCCTATTACAACCAGTTAACCTAGTTAACTTAGTTATTATACCCTATTTCAACCAGTTAACTTACTTATTATACCCTATTTCAACAAGTTAACCTAGTTAACTTAGTTATTATACCCTATTTCAACCAGTTAACCTAGTTAGCTTAGTTATTATACCCTATTTCAACAAGTTAACCTAGTTAACTTAGTTATTATACCCTATTTCAACAAGTTAACCTAGTTAACTTAGTTATTATACCCTATTTCAACCAGTTAACTTAGTTATTATACCCTATTTCAACCAGTTAACTTAGTTATTATACCCTGTTTCAACAAGTTAACCTAGTTAACTTAGTTATTATACCCTATTTCAACCAGTTAACCTAGTTAACTTAGTTATTATACCATATTTCAACAAGTTAACCTAGTTAACTTAGTTATAATCCCCTTTTTCAACCAGTTAACTGAGTTATTATACCTTATTTCAACCAGTTAACTTAGTTATTATACCCTATTTCAACAAGTTAACCTAGTTAACTTAGTTATTATACCCAATTTCAACCAGTTAACTTACTTATTATACCCTGTTTCAACCAGTTAACCTAGTTAACTTAGTTATACCCTATTTCAACCAGTTAACCTAGTTAACTTAGTTATTATACCCCATTTCAACCAGTTAACCTAGTTAACTTAGTTATTATACCCTATTTCAACCAGTTAACCTAGTTAACTTAGATATTATACCCTATTTCAACAAGTTAACCTAGTTAACTTAGATATTATACCCTATTTCAACAAGTTAACCTAGTTAAGACAGATGTAAATGAGCAACTATGCTATAATCTGGCTCATTTACAATCTGTACAGAAGTGTAAGATTGTTCATTAATGTGCACCGTCCTTATTGAATAAATAAATAAATGAATAAAATATATAGTTCCCTGGTGTCCTTTTCCTTTTTTCTTAATAATGTGTATGTTTGTACGTCGGGTAAATACGGTCGCTGACTAAATATGGTGTTTGTGTAATTTACTGCTTATAAAAATCTAGATTTCTGTTAGTTGAGTAAACATAAGTACCATGCTATTCCCGTTACACCAGTAAATTTTACACAGACGAAAGGCTGGAATATTATAATGAGCTAGATAATATATAATAATATTAATATTATAATAATAATAATATTATAATGAGCTAGAGGCAGCCCACAAAAACATCACCCAGTCATTTTTTTTCACACTTTTCCTGCTGATAGGCCCTCCACAGTCCCAAATGTACACAATCACATGATTAAAAACTTGGTTTTGCATAATATGTCCTCTTTAAGAAACACTGAAATACTACATTTCTGTGAATTTGTTCACCAACTCTTTGCTGTTCGTTTTTAATTTAAATTACAAAGTGTAAATAATAACTTCTGACGTGTGGATTTTCTATCAGTCATTCATTCCTCAAATAACGAATAAGGTCTGAATACTTTTATCACATTAAACTGAAGGTAAATGCTCATGCAGTGACCACATTTCCATTCTGAATTTAATTTAATTTTGAGATCTTTCTACAAGCACAAAAACATACAGAAAGCCAAATAGCATTTAGGGGAAATATTTTATATGTACAACCAAGTAATGGTTAATTAACTATGTGAAACCTCCTGATTTATCTCCTGGATTCAGACTGAGGCGGCCCACAAAAACATGACCCAGTCATTTTTTTCACACTTTGCCTGCTGATAGGCCCTCCACAGTCCCAAATGTACACAATCACATGATTAAAAACTTGGTTTTGTATAATATGTCCCCTTTAAAGCATCCACTGGGCTGAGAACAGCTTTAGAAAAATGTTCTGACCATGTTTGTTACTCTGTGTGGAGGCCAGAGAGCAAAAACTGATGGATTTACTGTCTAATTACAGAAAAAGTAGTAAATCGTGTGACAAAAACATAATAATAATAATAATATTGACACATTTTCTTTTTAAAAAGCGCCTTTCAGGCCACTCAAGCACACTAAATGTCATTAAAGCAACATTCAACCATAAGAAAACTTTTCCTGCTGATAGGCCCTCCACAGTCCCAAATGTACACAATCACACGATTAAAAACTTGGTTTAGCATAATATGTCCTCTTTAAGTGACTGTTTTAGTGGAACTAAAGAAGACATCTTAATCAAATCCCACTTCCTGTTTGGATGTGAAATATTGAGGCCCCTGTCAGATTATGATTTTCTGCCTGCAGTGGGCATCGATTGTTTCAATCTTTAAAGCTTTTCCACCTCGTTTCTGAATGGGCTTTAAAAAAAAAACAATAACAAGAGTTCATCGACAGGTCGGTCTGATGTATCTTTTCCCTCCATCTTCGGGGGAAATGTGTAGTTCCTTCTCATGACGACTATCTGGGGTGTGTTTAGCAATTTACGTCCTGGAATTAGAAAATTAAAATCTATCATTACTTCCATGCTTTGACAGGAAGTCGATGCAGATTCTGACCTGTTTTGGACATTATTCTCAATATCTCCACTGAGAGATATAACAAGAGGTTTGCTACTCGTGCACAGAAGAATAACTACGTTCACACTTTTTTTCACACATTTTGGTCTTATAAGGAATAACAGGCAAAGGCAAGTTTATTTTACAGCTCATTTTGTGTACAAAACAATTCAAAGTGCTTCAGAAATAATTTAAAAGCAGAAAAACAAAGAAAGAAAATGAATCAACAATTAATAAACTACATTAATAGATAGATAGATAGATAGATAGATAGATAGATAGATAGATAGATAGATAGATAGATAGATAGATAATAAAGACAAACAGACCATTTTACTCCTCAAATCTTTAAAGGAAAGTTTATTTTACAGCAGATTTCGTGTAAAAGACTATTCAGTGTTTCAAGAATTTAAAAGCAGAAAAACAAAGAAGGGAAATGAATCAACAATTAGAAAAATGTGATAAAGTACAGATAAAATCC